TTAAACCCAACTACAAGACAAAAACAAAAAACAAACAAAAAAGCTAGGTAGTCATAGAATCAAAGAGGATATTTGGGTATTATTTCTGTTTACAAAAAACTGCATTTTCTCAATTCAATTTTATTTATATCATGCCAAATCATAATACCAAATGTTTCAAGGTGCTTCTAAGAAAAAAAAAATGTTTCGCAGTCATTATCCTCTAAATAGCAGGTCAGGTTAGCATTAACTGTGGCTATTGACTATTAAGTATTTTCAAATACAACTTTGATGTAAAAAATCCAACTGTCAAATTAATTCACATAGAATCAATAAATAGTACCTTTATCCTGTGTCATTTGTTTCTCCAATTTTCTTTCTTTTCATCCTTCAGCAACACTTCCAAATTCTTTTCAGGAGTCATTAATGCAACGTTAGGGTAAACTAAAATTCTAATTGAGATCTAACATTGATGTTAGCGTTGATGTTAGTGATGGTGGCTCTGTTCCGATCTTTCCCCCAGCAGCACCGCAGACCAAGCCACAGATTCGCACATGTTGCATTAGTCCTTTACACGAATAGCCTGTCTTTCCTGAAACTAATTTCAAGAGTTATAGGTCCACATAAAAAATCTTATCTGACAAGATAAGCTTATCTTATTGTTTGGTTTAATGACAAATATAAAGCCACAGCAGTTTGCTACTATTTCATGTGGCATGGTTTCAATTGTGGCAGGTTTTAGACTGGTGTTAAAGCATAACATTTCAACCTTGTCACCGTTATTTACAGCATAACCTGATATTTCATGTAATTTTAAATATATGCCTTTTAAACATGTTAAAAATCATTTTTGTAGTCTTTCTGTGTTAGTTGAGCATGACGAACAGTAATGGCTGACTTAAAGTTATATGCATTGTAAACTCCCTTTACTTGCAAGGGAGCAATAGCATACACAGTGAACGTCTATGTAAGTGCGTATCAGGGCAATCTTCCTGAGCCTTTTTATAAACGTCTTTTCTAACGTTATCCTGGGAACAGATATGTGTGTGACACTCTTACAGAGAAACAATTCAGCTATATTGTGTGCTAGTACATGATCTGGGAGATTCATTCTCTCAGCTTACTAATAGGTGCCTTACTTAAAATGTCCACCCTATTGTTTTCCAGAAATACAGGGTGACTACACGGTGCTAGGCATGGTGGTCACTGGCATTAAATGCATAATTGTATAAATACTTTTAATTTACTTCAAGCAAAACATTCTAGGGGTTTAACCTATAAAACATTTTTAGTTTGAATAATTTTTCAGTGCATTCATAAAATTCTTTCAGATTTTGATATCTAAATCCCCTAACATGTCAGACAGTGAGGCAGCCCACGTAAAGTAAGACAATGGAGAGTATTAAAATTGTGTTTAAGTGATAATAATAGTAAATTTAAAATATAAACTGTTTATTTTATTTTTCTTATTATATTATGTTTTATATATATTTCATTTTTAAACAAATGTGTATAATTTATATAAATGTAAAAATAAGCAGTTTTAAAGCTGTTGATATAATTAAATTAAGCAAGCATTTTGTCATGAAATTGATGTTGCCATATAAGACTTTTAATTCGAAGTAAAAAGATAACAATAATGCAAAGTATATTTTACTATCCAGAGGGGTCTTTATTACTGGTTGAATTTTGGACCTCTCTCTCAAATATAGATCTAAATAGCTGAATTCAGATTATAGACAGTTGCATTGCATGTCAAGTGGTACAACCATTATAAAACTGGGAAAATATTTGCATATCATAAACTCTTTTCTTCATCTAAGGTATATGTTTACTACACCCAAAAGCTAATGCAGCTGTCCACTTAACAGTCTGTTTGAGGTGAATACACTGTAAAAAAAAAAGAAGTTTTCTTTTCTTTTCAAAAAAGGCGTTCCATCGCAGCACATGCCATCTGCTCAATGGTCTCAAATTTGCATAAAAAATAATGGTATCAATTTTTAACATGTATGAGTGCTGTGAAATTTTAGCTTCATGTATCTAATACTTTAAGATATACTTTTATGAGAAATGGTCAGTTGACCCACTGGCCTTTCTTTCACACATTAAACACTCATAAATGTTTGAGGATGAATATCTAAAAGACTATTAAAGCAGTCGGTACTCTGATGTAATTGCTTCTAGTGATCTGTAGGTTCCAAAAGTTTGGAAACATTGCACATTTTTGTTATCACTAAATACTAGCATCGCAAAATTGTTGAACATTCATGATGCAAACCCCCCCCTAGATATGGCCTAATCAAAAGCATTTAGTAAAGCAGTACTGCAACATTTATTGGTAACCTTATTCAGTTTCATATTTTCTAATAAACCATGAAATGTATCTGTCAAACATTATCAGCATTTTGTTGAATTACTAAATTTCTTTTCTTATTTGTAATTCTTGAATTTTATGTTATAGTACACCTAAGGTGGTGAAAAGTGTGTCTGATGAAAATGTTTAGCTGAAGAGGACTTACAGAGGACGTTTTATAATAACATTCACGGCTTATGAAAACATCAACAAAATTCTTTTTTTTTTCCCATTTAAAGTGCATATTGCAGACGGCAATTAACACAGTAGATATTGTGGCTCAAAAAACTCTGATAATGATGGAAAATCAGTTGTGCAAAATTCATTTTTGAATTTCTTTTTTAATATTTTGTTCAAATAAAATGAAAACATTTGGATTCAATTGGACTTTAAAAGGTTGTTTGAGATTTGAACCAAAATATAATTAAGTGTTCAAACTTGGTGTTATGAAAAATGTTAAAAATCTGGTTTAGGTTAAGGTAGGGATATATGAATTCTTGCCTATGTTCCAAAAAAAAAAGTTTGTGGAGGCGGTACCTTGGGTGTATAAAGTACAACATACAGCAGTAACCACTTCCTGTCCTCTCGCAACTCGGATACTTTGGTCGTTTGCAATCTGAATTTGAATCATCTGTTCAATTTCTCTGTTAGCAGCATGCCTCTTCAGTTTGCATTATGTCCCGGCAGAATGATCGGTGGCTCCCATCCGTGTTTCATCATTGCTGAAATTGGACAAAACCACCAGGGAGACATTCAGATTGCTAAAAAAATGATCAAGATGGCAAAGGTAAATTAAATGAAATTTTGTCCTTAAAGAGCTTTTCAAGAATATTATTTTAAAAATACTTCTCTTCTCTTCTTAGGACTGTGGTGCCGATTGTGCAAAATTCCAGAAAAGTGAATTAGAGTTCAAATTCAGCAAGCGAGCCTTGGAGCGCCCCTACAATTCAAAGCACTCCTGGGGGAAAACATACGGTGACCACAAGCGTCACTTGGAGTTCAGTCATGATCAATACAGGGAACTAAAAAAGTATGCAGAAGACATCGGCATCTTTCTCACCGCCTCTGGCATGGATGAGGTATAGGATAAAAATTATGATTAATAAGAGTGTGCAGTGAATTTCACTTCAATCAACAGGGACAGTGTGGTACTCAACAATGTGCTGAGTATTGATGCATAAATTTTGTAAAACCCCATCAAGGGTTAAGTGGACACAAAATCAAGGTTTATTGCAAATCAATATTAAGTTGATGTCAATAATTACCTTTATCCTCTGTCCTTGTCATTGTGGTCTCTTCCAAGATTAAAAAAAAAAAACCCAACTCCACATAGCACAAGGAATCCCTCAATAATTTGAGAAAATGATGTGAATAGTATGCTATGACCTATTGAGACACCATAACTTGTCTGAACACCTATGAGAGATAAGGGCCAAAGGCAAAATCTTTTGCAGGATAATGTTCCGTCCTTCCTGTAGATCTCGGGAGATTTACACACTCAGTGCCGAGACACAATAAAGTCATTAGGCCTGATGTACTCCATCTTAGCTTTCTTTGGTTATATGTTTGAATTTTTCAGTGCATATATGTATCTGACATCCATAGATGGCTGTGGAGTTCCTTCATGAGCTGGATGTGCCCTTCTTCAAAGTTGCCTCGTGTGATGCGAACAACTTTCCATATCTTGAGAAAACTGCCAAAAAAGGTACAAGGCATTTTGCGAGTACTTCAAATCACTCTCACCTAAACTGTCGTGGGAAACAGCAAATCTGCAATGTACAGTGCATTTTATAGCTGATCCCACCTTGTGGGTGTAGGCCTTAGGAAAAAAAAAAACAAGCTCCCTGATAGAGACCTCATTTGAGCGCTGAAATAGTGGGCACCATTAAAACGTACAACAACATGACAAACGTACAACAAAAAATTACAAAATACTGCTACACTGATATTTTATTTATAAATAGCACCTGAATTTTCTCTTTTATTCTGATTCTGTCAGTTTATTATTAAATTTAACTACCGATCTTGCATTTATGCCCATCTAAACAGTATATTGGATTACATAATACATATGTCATTGTCAGGGCGACCCATGGTGATATCCACTGGGATGCAGTCTATGGAAACCATACGGCGTGTCTACAAGACCGTAAAGGAGCACAAGCAGAACTTCACCCTCCTGCAATGCACCAGCGCCTACCCTTTGGATCCTAAAGAGGTCAACCTCAGTGTGATCAAGGTAATATTGGTGAATAATTTCCTCATACTCAGTCATCATGTTCTCTGATTATGTGCTTTTATTGCAATCCATAGCAGCAAACAAGGGAACGTTCGTGTTCCAAAAAAGGTAATCCCTTCAAGCAACATTCCTCAACACTTTTAGTAAAAATGACAATTCTTAGGACACTACCTGAACCTTCAGTTTCCCCATTCGGATTAATCTCGTCCTCAGTGGCAGCTACTCATGGCATTTTTTTGTTTTGTTTTTTCTCTCCTTTTTTTTTGGCTCTAGCTGTTGCTGCACACATGAAGTTTGGTTTTAGTTAGTTTCTTAAGCATAGGAAGATTTCCCATTGCCAATTATGTTCATTTAAAAAATGGAAATGCTTTTAACAGATCAAACACAATAAATGTGAGATTAATAATAAAGACATTTAGTAAAAGTAATTATTTGTAGTTCTACTCTGGTACTGAGCCGTTTAGCCTTTTGCACTTGACTCTTTGCAAAAAGTTTAATTTCTAGTGCCTTTTTAAAGATTTATTATTTTCTGCAATTATACCATTAATTGCTCCTATCATTAACGATACAGATTTTACATCTTTGTGCAATTAAGGAAAAGACTGCCCAAATGTATGCTAGCTTAGCCTGTTATAAGGATCGGCTGTATTAGCATGCCTTCTGAAACATACCTTCTTAAAGTTACTAACTCCAAACAGATCCCACATTATATATCCCACTGTCTATACCATAGAAAATAGCAGATCAAGGGTCTATGGAGCCTTGGCAGTTTCCAGCTGGACCAGTTAGTGACCGGTGTTGTGTCCATTCAAGTAATCACATCACTGTGGTTGCTGAGAAGGTTTTAAACTGTCTAAACAATAAAGAAAATTCTCTCTGGAATATGGTGAACAGTACCAAAGGAAACTAAAAGTCATATGAAATGGAGCGCACTGGAGAGGCAGGATGTGGGATTGTTTTTCCATCTCTTCATACATGGCACATTGCCAGAGATGAAGATTCATTAACCACATTAGTAGAGCAGGTCATTGTAGTAATAATTTCGAAAGTCCTTCTTGTCAACTGTAAACATCTTGTTGTCAACAAGAGAACAAGACGTACAAGCTAACACAACATTTAGCTCAACAGTTACTTAACTTCAAATCCATTCTTTAAATGTTATATGATATTACAGTGTCATCTTACACTATCACAAAGTTTTGTAGGTACTGTTTTCTAGAGAGAAGGAACCTGCCAATGAAAGACTTGAGAAACCAGTGTTTGTTTACACACTTTGCTTAGATGTTAAATTAAATTGTGTATGTGTGACCACTGTATTGTATGAAAGTGGTGGGTACACAAACAGGCAAACAAGTTTTCTACTCTGATTTTTCCATTTTTTCTGGAAGACATTCCAGGAAGAATTTCCAGATGTTCCAATTGGATATTCTGGACATGAGCAAGGCATCTACATCACTGTGGCTGCTGTTGCAATGGGAGCAAAAGTTGTGGAGCGCCATGTGACCCTAGATAAGACCTGGAAGGGAAATGACCATGAGGCATCCCTGGAGCCCTCCGAGCTGGCAGAGCTGGTCCGAGCAATCCGACTGGTGGAGACGGCAATGGGGTCACCAGTCAAGCAAATGTTACCATGCGAAAAGACCTGCCATGATAAGGTCAGTTTGATTCATTTAGGATGAACTTTAGCAAAAAGCTAAATGTTGAGACTGGAAGTCTGCATTTCAAGCTTGATTTTTTATTATTTCTCACAAGTGCCACTTCATTAATTTAATTCAATTCAGTTTTATTTATATATCACCAAATCACAACAACAGTTGCATCAAGGCACATTATATTATAAGATAAATAACGCTACAATAATACAGAGAAAACTCCAATAATCACATAAACCCCCATAGCTGAATTAAGGTGCACTAAAAAATTACTGGGGTCCCTTTTGTACAACCACACACATTTCACATGTCTTTGTGCAAAGATATTTCTCTGTTATTCTGTTCCAAATATGTCTATCTTTTTACTTTAAGTGCATATGTGCCAGAAATTAGACACTTGGTTGATGTTACATAATATAAGGTTTATAGTAAGTCTCATTTCATGTAGGGTCTATCCATCACGTTTATTTTAAAGTACCTTTTGAATTTTCTGCCAAAGGGGGCTTGGGCCTCTCCCTACCATCACTGGGCATGAAACAGGTTACAGCCTGGACAAACAGAGAGACAACAATACGATGTCACATCCATGATCAATTTAAAATCAATCATTAACCTAAGACGTTCTTGCACTTTGGAAGAAAACTCACTGTGGGAACTTGCAAACACAAATAGATTCATACATTAATAGTGCTGACAATTTCAGTGCCACGTTGTGTAATAGCAGCTTATAATTACCATAAAATACATACTTATGGTATAAATTTTATTTAGAGAAACAAAGACTAAACCTTGGCAACATTTGGCAATGTGGCAATACCTTATTTGTGAGATAGATCAAGTTGTTCCCATAAAAATGATAAATATTTAGTATTTATATGTTGTTAATCTATCTGTGATTTCTGTATTCTTTGTTTTCTACGCAGCTGGGCAAGTCAGTGATAGCTAAGGTGGCCATTTCCAAAGGTACAGTGCTCAACCCCGACATGTTTGTTGTGAAGGTTGGTGAGCCAACGGGCATCCCTCCAGAGAACATGCAGAACCTAGTGGGCAAGAAGATCAAAGTGGATGTGAAGGAAGATGACAGCATCTTGGCAGACATGATAGAATGAATAACCTTCAAAACTGTTGGAATAGAGGCAGCCAGAAAGAGAGGGTTAGAAAATGTAGAAAGAAATTGGACAGGTGATGTGAACAGATAGAGAAACAACAAATAAGGGAAGAAAATATGGGCTTAAATGAAGATAAGGTGTGTATCTGGTCAAATTAATGGGGAGAGCGGAATTGTCATTCCTCTGCATAATTTGCACAAATAAAGCAAATTAAATGTGAACATGTCTGTACTTCAGAATTAGAATGCAGCTTAAGGTGCTCTATCTGTATGCTTCCATGCACTGTTTGCATGTAAAGGCAAAAATATCTGCATATTCTCATGTTAGGAATGAATGTTTACATTTATAGCATCAGATGCAAATATATCTGATATGCAAACATTTCCCCCAAAATAAGGAAACAACTGTGTATGAGATTTGTCAAAACTGACACATGCACTTTATAAGAATATACAAACACCTTCACTATTTTGTGAGTGATTTTTTTTCCTGCTTCTGTTTTCCCAGCACACATTATTGAGTGATTATGGTGATATATGGTTATATAGGTTCCACACCAATCAAACACACCTTTACCACCTCTGTCATTTTTGCAGGCTTTACATTTGGAGAAATGATTATGGTCCTGGATTTTTTAATAATTATCCTTTAAATAAAAAAGTTCTGAAAACATCTAGTTTGCATCATCTTTATTCTGGAGTGATTCATCCCTTCCCATCCAAACACTTAAATATGGCAAAATGTGTCAATACAGAGGCTTCACACCAATTAGACACAGATTAATAAACCCAAGCTGGTAACATTAGATATAAGTATGCAGTACTGAGTATAATTAGGTGTTAGGTACACATCAGTGTGTAATTTACAAACACAGTTTACAAAAACAGTTTATAAGTTTAAATATAATAATGACATTTTTTAACCTTAGAAACAGTGGAATCAACATTTAAACAGTTGTCTCTATTAATTGTTCATGCCATCACAAAAATGGTCAAATCATTTATATGCAAAATAGTTAAATGTACATTTATAATTAAAACAAATTTTGTCAGGTTTTATAAACATTTATTGCAATCCATGGCTAATTCAGGGAGCTAATAGTTGTTAGTGAAATACAATGGGTGACCTCATCAAAAGTGAAGATCATCTATCGCTTAAGCATTTGTTAGTGGAAGGCCAGCAGTACCACAAAAGTCTCGGCTATTTTTGACATGACAAAAGAGAAAAGAAAAAAATGGAAACAGGCAAAGGACAAAGTGATAAACAGCATACAAATCTTTATTGCAAGAGTCAAGCTTAACCCGCTTCAGCTTTACAGAATACTGCAATGAGAGTGTGAAGGATTGGGAGGGGTTTAGGAGAGAAGCATTGAGCAACTTAAGGCACAGGCTACTCTCAGCTTGAATATACTGAACCTCCTGCAGTTAAAATTCAACGTTAATTAGGTTATGCTTCTGTGGACTCATTTTCCACAGCAGCACAGAAGCTGAGGGGCAGCTCGTCCCACAGCATAGCTTAAAGTTCATTGTTAGCATGGAGGAATTTGGGGCAATTTGGACATTTCATAGGTTTTGCTTTAAATAGTAAACTCAAACACCACTTTAATGTTGTAAAACATCGGGTTGTAGATAACAAAAAAGCTAACTATTATAAATAATAAATAGTGTTAGATTTCTAATTAAGTTGGCAAGCAAATAGCACGTAAAGTTTACTCTAATGAAAAAGACATGAGCTAAAATGAATAATAAAAGTCTTACTTTCTAACTGCTGCTTGCCAGGTAAAAATTGCTGCAGCTTCAATTTGTTTCAATTTAAACCCAACTACAAGACAAAAACAAAAAACAAACAAAAAAGCTAGGTAGTCATAGAATCAAAGAGGATATTTGGGTATTATTTCTGTTTACAATTCCTATGGGGTTGACTAACAAACTGAAGAAGCCCTGTGTTATTATATAGGTACTAATGTATGACATGAACCAGCTTGTTTGCATTTTCAGAAGTACAATCTGTACATCCTTTAAGAAACAAATATGCAGACCAGACAGCAGAGGACACCACAGAACATCCATGTATCATCCACCAAACAACACCATCACACTCCTTGAGTGTCTTTAAAGCAAGTCTCTTAAAAAAACTCTTTGAAAAAATGTTAAAGAAAGGGAAAAAATTGTGTCCCTTTGTTTAATTTCAGGTCTTCCCCGTTTAAGGCCACCTTCCCTTCCCTGTGAGCAATGATTCTCAAACTGTGGGCGCCCTCTACTGGTGGCCATCCAGCCATTTAAGAATGGGTGCAGACAACCAGAGGAAAATTATTGTGAAATTACTTTGAATTCATATAATAATTTCTTAGCAAAAATATAGAATAGTTAATTGATGCTGTTGTCCCCATCTAAAAACAAAAAAACCAAACACATCTAACCTCAGATCCTTTTTCATTAATAACTGTTGATTTAGAGAACACAATAATAAATACACTTAAAAGGTGGAGGTTTTTGAAAAAACAACACTAACTGTTATTGGCTTCTCTTCAGAAATAGAAGGCTTGATTAACTGGTGTATGAGAATACTGTACTTACATTCAAAGCTTCACTGACTATTCACACAGTTCTGAAAGTATGTGTCAACCAACTGACTCAAGATTTCAAAACTCTAAACACAGTTCTATTTGTCTCACCAATATTAACTTTATAAATCTTTAAAAATTCCATCATTTAGATGTGTTTGGTCGAGGTAGAAACACTGGTGTTCAAAATGCAACATACTGAATACCAATTAATCTTACTCATGTTGTGCCTGAGCGCACTCAATTGGAAGGACAATTCAGCCATGTGTCAGGATAAAAACAAGGCCTCAAGTGACTTATACAGGTGTTACGAAACAAGATGGAGAAGCAAGAGCACAGAGGAAGAGTGATTGGAAGAGGCCTGTGAGGCAACAGAAGGCAATGTTCAAATTGTTATTGTCTTTTAAACGGACCAATTTGTGTAGCAAAAACAAATAAATATTTCTTATGTTATCTTTGTGATTTTCTTTGTAGTATTTCCTGCCACATCTACATTAAATTAAAGTACTCAGGTTTGCTACATACACTGAAAAGTTGCTCATACATGTTCTTCTAGAACCATTTTCTTAATTCTGTAGTATAAACAGGTTAAACATGAATTTTCAGTTTGTCTGCACTGAGTCATCTCAAGTGGGTGGATTTATTTATTTAATAAATTCTTCAGACATTGTTTGCTTTGTGTTAAGACTGTCCTCTCTTTGTTTTACTTTCTGTTTTAAGACCACAGGCTGTTTATGTGAGACCAGGACCTTCATGTCTTTGAATAGGCTAAATCAGTTATTGCTGTTGGGCAGGGCTGAACTGAGATAAAATAATCAGCCCAGGCATTTGTGGTCCAGGCGACTCACCATGATCTCTATATATCATTTTATTTTGTTTGACTATTGATTTTAACATAGGTATTAATCGGGTCAGTACAGTTGTTGTTGTGTTATTTCTCAGTTGCACTGCAGTGTGTGATAATAATTAAAATCTACTATTAGCAAATGGTTTATGGTCAAAGCAGCCATTGATTTTACCCGAATTCCTGAATCTATCCCTTCCTAATTATGTCCCTCCATCTATTTTCTTACCACGTGAAGGTGAAATTCACGTGTTGAGAAATTCACGTGTGTCTTCCTCAGCACCAGCAGCCTTCTGTGATTGTAAAGCTTGATTATTAGATGCTGCTGGTACATTTATGTTACAGTCACAGCCAGACCGATGCTAACATGTCGGTTAATCTGACACATTTAGCTGCATCTCATATTAGTTTCTTTCAGTGTCCTCTCTCGGCTTTCCAGCTCCACCTTCTCGCTGCTTCTTCCACACCAAACACGTTAGGACATTTGATTGGGTAATCCAGTTTCACTAATGAAAATGAACGAATGGGTTGCTGCCATTTCTTGTATGGCTGGTGCGGAGCGGGCACTTCAGGCCGTCCCATCGGCCCAAAATTGAGTCGGCTCACCGGGAAAATGCCCGGTATGTGCCCACTGGGCTAAATTTCATATATATAGATATATATCTATATCTATATCTATATATATATCTATATATCTATATATATATATATCTCTATATATATAGATATATATATATCTCTATATATATAGATCTATATATATCTATATCTATAGATATAGATCTATATATATCTATATCTATAGATATAGATCTATATATATCTATATCTATAGATATAGATCTATATATATCTATATCTATAGATCTATATATATCTATATCTATAGATATAGATCTATATATATCTATATCTATAGATATAGATCTATATATATCTATAGATATAGATCTATATATATCTATAGATATAGATCTATATCTATCTAT